GCCCCTATGAGTGGAAATCAACTCAATGGCAAAAACCAACAACAGCGCTAGATGTGCTGTGCTTTCCCTAGCTTCACATGTCACTGATGAAGCATTGGCTTGTGGTAAATGGCCAAGAAGACTTCTTAACCTAAGCAAGGATTGCCCAAGATACTCTTGACACAATATCTGTCTTTTATCCTTCATCACTGTAAGCACTCCTAATACATTTGTCATTGTTTAATGGCTACTTAAGATATATTTTTAAAATCATGTTATTGGGGGCTCATACAACTCTTATCACAATCCATCCATCCATCCATTGTGTCAAGCTCATTTGTACATCTGTTGCCATCATCATTTTGAAAACATTTTCTTTCTACTTAAGATATTATGCCAACTGAGTTGAGTGATTATAAGCTGGACCTCTTAGAAATACTCACTAAACACACAACAGACTGATTTCTACAACAGAATCCCAATGTAGTAGATCACAATGGGGAGCAAGCAATGTAGCTCTTATCCACTCTGTCTCCTCTGCTTGTGTCCATATAGGAAACTGAAACCAGAAAGTTGCTAAGTGAGCATGGAATCAGAACAGGTATAGCTTTACCTCACAATACAGACCCATCTCTCCTGAGTAGGTCTAATGTCTTTTTCCTTTGGGCCAATATTTCTCACACTTCAGTCTATTGAAAACCACCGTTAGGATTTTTGCGTTCTGCTTACCAGTATGTGCTTATTTGCTTCAGCTGAATAAACCTTTTAAAAAATTGGATATTTCCTTTCATTCTCCCAAGCAATTATATCCCTAAAATCATAGATTTGATGTGCTAGTAATAATTTCCTGATACAGATTAAAATACATACTAAATAGAAACCCTAACTTAACTATCTAAATGAAAATTGTCCATGAACCATTTGTCTTTCTGAACCCTGCTCTGTATGGTGACACCCCTTCTGCTGACTGTTCCTCTTAGAGATGTATTAGCACCACGGTAGTTTAAAACAAACAAACAGTTTATTGTCAGTGCGTGAAGATTTACAGAGCAGATCAGTTTTCTGTTCCACAAACCATATATAGTTTGTTTCATGATTGCAATTTCCACATGGTAACATCACAGGCCATTTCTTCCCTGTGTTTCCTGTTCTCATTCCTTCTTTTTCCCCACCTTTCTGAGCTTTGCCTTTGGGTACATCCTTCTCTTTTGATCACAGATGGTGGATTAGTCTAAGGAGTGTTTACCTTTCCTCACACCCTTTCTATTGTTTGGTTGAAATGTGAGCCACTGGAGGGGGTGGGGGTTCACTTTCGGACCTGAACAAGCAGGGTAGAATCCTGAAGAAACAGTTCCCCCTTCCACCCTTCCCCACCTCCTGGCCATTTTTCGTGTTGCTTTTACGTGACTGAATCTTTCCTATTTGTCCCTGTTGCAGGCAACTCCGATTTTGATTATAAAATATTTTGTATTTAGTTATCTGCACAGTACAACATTCACAAATACTTATTTATAAAAAAAAATTCACTGCCATCGAGTCAATTCTGACTCATGGCGACCCTATAGGAAGGGGCGGAACTGCCCCTTTCGGTTTCCAACACGAACTTTACTGGAGCAGAACACTCAGTCTTTCCCCAGATGAGGGCCTGGTGATGTTGAACTGCGGACCTCTTGGATTCGCTGCCCAATGCATAACCACTGCGTCACCAGGGCTCTTCTGAAAGATTTATTGTACCTAAAAATGATCACCTACCCCTGCCATTTGAGGCAGGCCAGTTTGGGCCTAATGTGGAATTAAAAACATGTTTGGACAGTTTTGACTTGGTGCTAGGCACAGTCTGCATGATGAAATAATTATAATTTGAGTAATTAGGAGAGAATGCGGAAAACACAAAGAGACAGAAATAGTTTTATTTGCCCTAACTTTTCTAAAGTGTGAAAAATCTTACTACTAAAACCTTTGATTTGATTTTGCAAGTATGAAGCACTGCTAAGGAAAATCTTGCTCTTATTGAATAAGTTTTAGCTAGAGATACTATATAAAAAAGGGGGTTAGCTTTCTAGTGAATCATTTTTTGAGATAAAGTTTTAAAATGTCATTTACCACCATCATTCCTTAAACTGTGAGTTCTTTGAGACTTGGGTTTATCTAACTTCTTGCACTTAGCAAAATACTTGACAGCAGGTGCTCATTTATAGCCAAATCAACAACTAAATAAATACCTATCTTCCCCTATTTTAAAGTGTATTACCACTATTAAGATCTGATTCCAAGGGCTCAAGTAGAAAGAAAATGTTTTGGAAATGGTGATGACACCATATGTACAATTGTGCTGGGTACAATTGATGTATGGATTATTATAAGAGCTGTAGGAACCTCCAATAAATTTTTTTAAATGAAAAAAATAAAATAATAAAAAAAAACAATATTCCAGGAAAAAATTACATTAATTGCAGGTTAAAAAAAATTAAAGGAAATAAAACCTTAAAAAAAAAAACCAGCCAAAATAGAGGGTTGACTAACCTAGGGACAAGGGAACAACAAATGGTTCAAAACCAATGGTAGGGAGGGGATGGGAGAACTGGTAGGGAGTGACCAAGGGCAAGGTAACTGAGAGGAATTACCGAAACCAGAATGAAGGCTGAACATGGTAATGGGACAGGAGGAAAGAGTAAGGAAATAGAGGAAAGAAGTAGGAGGCAAAGGGCATACATACAAGCCTAAATACAGACATGTACATATGTAAATATATTTAAGATTATGGGGGATTATTTTCTCAATACTGAACATGAATTCTCATAATTCACCTTTTCTTAGCCAAAGATTGCTTAGTAATAAATTACATAAATTGAAATTCTTTTCATAAAGAACCATTTCATTGTAATATCTGAAAGTAACTATATACACACAACACACACTTCATTTTGTAACAAAATGATTAATAGAATTTTCCCATAAACTTTTGGAAACCTAGACAGGAGCCCTGGTGGTGTAGTAGGTATGTGTTGGGCTGTGATCTGCATGGTTGGCAGTTTGGATCCACCAGCTCCATGGGAGAAAAACTGGGCTTTCTACCCTCACTAACCAACCCATAGGCAGAGTTTTGTTGTTTTCTATTGGGATTGACTTGGTAGTAGTGATTTTATTTTTTGGTTACATATCTCTATCTATATAGAAATATGTGTGTACATTAGCTTCTATACTATTCTATCTCAATCCATAGAGCCAAACAGTGGCTGCGACAACTATGAGCACCAGGCAGAACTTTGCTGGTTGAACAGAGATTCATTTTTAGTTGCAAAACTTTCTACCTATTTCCAGATACTGTTTTCGAATTGTTTTAGGGATGTTTCTTTTTCCCTACTCACCTCATTTAAAAAGTATCTTTAGTTTAGAGAACTTGTCAAGTTTGGAGAAGCATGAAAAATTCTTGTTTTCTGTACTTAAAAAACATTTAAAAATTATTCTACCCACACACATTTGTATCCTGCTCTTCTTGCTTAACATATATTTCCCCATGAATTAAAGTTTTAAAAGAACATGTATTCGAAATTGAGGTAGAACACAGGTAGAACAGGTAAAATAACAGCTTGGTGGCTCTTTCCTTTACATACACAATGATGATTTAAGGCACGAGACCCTGCAAAGGTCTTAAAAACAAACAAAGAAAAAACAAACAAACAAAAAACCCCCTCTGCTATTGAATCAATTATAGGTCAGAGTCAAACTACCCCGTTGCATTTCCAACACTATCAATCTTTACACAAGCAGAAAGCCTCATCCTTCTTGTTCAGAGGCGTGGTGGGTTCCAACAGCTCACCTTTGGCTGACAGTCCAACATGTAATCCACTACGATACCAGGGCTACTAGTGCAAATTTCCCCTTTAAGTATACATTATTAAAAATATCGGTGAAATATATTTGGGGCTGATTTTTAGTAAATACAATTTTTAAAAGCTTCACCTTCAAAGTACACAATGCTTAAAAAATACACAATGTCGTGTTAACTAGATACAATTCTGACATATTGGTGTAAGAGAGAATAATAGCGGTTCGAAAGATTCAAAGAGAAAGCAAACATGTCTGATAAATCAGGCTGCGTGGGGATTTTGTTCGTTGAAAGCAACAGCCAGGGATTTCTTCAAAGATTAAGAGAAAGGAAAGTGATAGAAATCCTATCAAATGTGAGTAGTTTCGCTTTAAAACGAACTTTTCCCCTAGCCTTTTCGGTGGCAGGCCAAATCGTTGGTAGGTGTACTAAAACGACCTTTGGTCACTTTCGGGTTGGGATATAAACAGGACCACAAGCCAAAGCTTCAACGAACCTCGTCAAGCACCGATTTCTTACTTCCTTCTAATAAAGAGACCCTTTCTACCCAAAGAACTGCATCCATAACTTAATAAAACAGATCAACTTCGTTCAGGTGTCACCAGCCTTCTTCCTGCCCGGGATAAAAGAATGATGCACCGCCTCCCTTAGCCTCTCGGGGACGGGACGTTGAAGCACTTCAAGTTCCCGGATGTGAGTAGAGCGACCCAGAAATAACGAGCCAGACGTAGCAACTGCAAGCGATTGGGGTAGGTAAAGGGGAGTTAAAGTGAAAGGGTGGACGGGAGGGCATTTATTTTTGGCGTTAGATAAAGGGAGGCGGACTTCTTTGGCTCAGAGCGCTGGCGTAAGGAAAATCTAGAGCTTCCCCCGAGTGAGGATCCCATCTGAGAACGTAGAGACAAGCGGGCACTAGGCCGAGGGGTCGGCCTTGGCCCCACAGGCCCAACGGGCCACTGTGAGGAAGCCAGTAGGTCCAGCTGTGATGGCCTCGAACGAGCCACTGTGAGGAAGCCAGTAGGGCCTTCTGTGATGGCCTGGAACGTGGTCCAGTCGGGAACGCAAGGGCGTGGGGTGGGGGCGGGATGACGCCGGCGATCTGAGCGCTGATTGGCTGGTGGTGGGCGTAGCCTGGTGCCATTTGTTGTTGGTGAGGACGCACCTGACGCAATCTGCGTCAGGCACGTGCAGCCGTTTAAGTGGCGTTCGCCTCTTCTAGGACGGGGAGAGTCGCAGTGGCGAGGTGAGTAGGCTGGCTGGTGCTCGCCCCGCTCTGGGCCTTTGGGCTTCCTAGGGCTGTACTTTGGGCCAAAGAAGGAAAGAGGGGATCGAGCGGGCAAGGAAGGGACTAGGAGAAGTCTAACGGAGACTTTGCGCCGCTGGCCCGAGGGCGCGAAAACTCTATGGCCGCCCGAAGTCTGGGCTCAGGCCTGCTGACAGAGCCTTTGGGGCCATCCTTATGCTGCTCTGCCCCGAAGATGGGCTGTAGTGCCATTTTTGCCCAAACGCTCCTTGGTGAAACTCCCATTGTTGGAGGGGTTTGGGAGGGCTGACTTCCTCATTCCTCGCCGCCCCCCCACCCTCCCGCTAACAAACTCCTCTCTACCAAACTCTCGGGCCTCCCGCTATCCCTCACCCCTCTTCCGCTCTGCCTCGTAAAACGAATCCCGCCCCCACTCCCTTCGGCAATAAAACAACAAAAGCAAGCAATACCTATCCACCTATGAAGGGGATTATATGAAGGGACAAACATTAAGTAGGATCAGAAAATTTCTCCCTCTCTTGAATACCCATTAAGTCCTTTGGGAATCCTTTAAGGACGAAGATAAATTCTAGGTACAAAGTTTTGCACTAAACCTCAATGACGAATAGAGACGTGGTAACCGCATGAGGGATTAAGTGGTTCAACTAATTTTTTAAGGATTAAGTGGTTCAACTAATTTTTAAAAATCATTTTATTGAGGAACTAATTCTCTTAGACAAAAAGGATAGAAAAGGTAAATAAGTTTCAATGCACCTTTTTGCAAAAACAGTTGGGGATAAGTACTTAGTTGAGTAGTTTAAAGAGCTGTGTGTTAAACAGTGGTAGTTTATATTTTATGGGCATGATTCTGTTACCACTGAGACCAAATGTGCATGTTTCTATTTTTTAAGAACAAGAACTTTGAAGCCATCATGGGAGATGAAGATTGGGAGGCAGAAATCACCAAACCTCATATGTCTTCTTATGTTCCTGTATTTGAGAAGGTAATACAAATTAAAGCCTATAGCTATTAATATGCTTCAGATTTAACCTAAGTGGAAAGTCTCTGTGATGATAAAGTTCTGAATTAATCAGGCTGCTCCAGTCTGCCATATGAATTTTCATGTGATTATTATGAACTGTTTTATGGAGATTGAGGAAGAGGCCTGCTAAGCCTCAAATGGTATAAGATAATCTGAGATGCTGTGATAAGTAATTAAAATATAGGTATTAATATCACAGGATACCTTGGAGATAAAGCAGGTTCGGTTCCAGACCATCAAGGTAAAGTGACTGTTAAAGTGTATATCACAAACCCATCACACAATTTGTTACAGTATTGTGTAGTCTATCAAATGTGTAGTAGTGTGTACTAAAGACCAAAGTGAGCGTATGTTGTAAGAATGGTGCTGATAGACTTGCTTAGTGCAGGGTTGCCATAGACATTCAGTTTGTAAGAAACAGTAGTCTCTTTGAAGGCCATAAGGTGAAGCAAGGAGTGCCTGTACTTAAAACATAATTTAAATCTCAAGGATTTAGAACTTTTGGTTGAAAGCAAGCTTGTACAAGTGTGGCTGGATGAATGTCTCTGTGAGACAATTATATGGAAAATTAGAAACTAATTTGGTTCTGGGTGAGATTTTTGAATTCGCAAATTGGTCTTATGCAAGAAGTGCTCTCGAGACAAATATGTTGGGCTCATTCATATGGTAGCATCAATATATCTTAGTCCAGATCATCAACTTTTTTCTTAGTTGCATTTGGAGAATTATAATGAATCAATAACCAGAAGAGGTGTCCTTGGGTTGACTTTTGGATTTTGTTCTAACATAGAAATTGACTTAATATTTTTATTTGATAAGTTACTTTAGCAAATAACATTTTACGTGACTTTTTTGTATAAATGTTATTTCTTGAAAATATTGCAAACAGCTGATTTTTTTTTCTTTTAAAGAATTTCCAGTTTGAGTGTGTAGCAATCAATTCTGATAGTTTTTTAAAAATTTCAAGTTATGACCTTAGAGGAGCTACTTATTTCACCCCAAAATATAAATTATCCAATCCTATGTTTTAATTTCATTTGTTGGTCTCTTTCTATATTTTTTTTTGTTTGTTTTGAGATAAATTAGTCACTAAGGATTCCAAGTCCATTTCAATTTTACATTTCCTTTTTTTTTTCATATAGCCACTCAAACTACTATTTAGGTTTGAGGAATAAAACTCTTTGTAGAATTTTTATTAAACTGTTCAAGTTTATCATAAAATTAAACCAAAGCATCATGCTTCTTGGAACATACTCATTTTAGAAATAACTTATTTTGTTATCATTTTATAGTCTTTTACATCATAAAATATTACAAATATAGTTTTAGGGAAAGGGTGAAAAAAATCACCTAAAACTCATAACCCTTTCTGTTAAATGTTTCATAAACTTACCTCCTTTGTTTTTTCTAAATATTTTATAGATAGTTGCAATTATAGAAAATGTCAGTATTTTTGGAATACAGCTTTCTCCTCCCTCTTCAGACTAACTATTCCATATTACTAACTTCCTAAAAATAATTTTTTAAGGCTGTATAACATTTAATGGAATGGGATAACAAATATAGCATAAGTAATATAAATGATTTCTTTTTGGTGGGACTTTTTGGTATTGTTTGCTTTTTACTATATACTTCTATGAATATATATAGCTTATTTGTTTCAATTTAGGAACCATTTTTTGAAAATGGAATTATGTAATATGCCAAAGGAAATAAGATTTTTTTCTTTGTTTCTCAAGACTTTTTATAAAACAAAGCTTACTTTCTAGATATGGACTTCCACTTTGACTTTAAAAATGACTTGTTCAATTTCTGTGTTTTCTTTAGTCTTGATATTTTGTCTTCTTGAAGTACCCTTCTAAAACATCTTGTGTTGTACTGTGCATATGGCTTGCATTTATTGCCCAGGGTATCCGAAATTGGCTGCATGTTTTTGGACTCTGCTGTTCAGTAACCAAACTTGTTCCTTGAAATTTGCCATATCAAATATTAATTTATGTTGGAAACTGTCCTTTATGTGTCTTATATACTTTTTGTGAACCCTAGTTGCACAATAGTTACACATTGGGTTGCTAACAGTAAGGTCAGCAGTTCTAACCACCAGCTGCTCTTTGGGAGAAAGATAGGGCTTTTTACTTCCATGAAGAGTTACAGTCTCAAAAAAAAAAAAAAGTTACAGTCTCAGAAACTAACAGGAGCAATTCTACCTGTCCTATAGGGTTGTTGTGAGTTGCGTCAACTTGATGGCAGTAAGTTTGTTTTGGGGGTATTGTAACCTAAATGATTTTACTTAATGTCATTAGGGGGGGAAATCACCTTTATTAAAGGCATTTAGCCTAAACTACTGTACTTAATGCAATCTATGACATTTTTATAAATTGCTCAAAGATAGGTTGGATGTTGATGTCACCTAGGGGGTCCAGATAATTTTGAGAGTCTTCTCTTACTTATTTGAGTATAAGTGATTAAAAGCTGTGCCCTGCTGTGTAGTCAACAAAAACGTCCTGAGATTGGCCTAAGACTTAAAAGAACCACATTGTTTTGTTTGTTTGCTCTGAGTCAACAGTCGTTTCCCATGATTACCTTGAAGCCTGAGTTAATGTAAAATATCTACACATGACTCCTCAAAGTATAAATTACAAAATAAAAAGATGTATGTTCTCTATTCTGATTTTAAACAGGACACCAGAATGACAGTCTGTAAGCTGCCAGTCTAATCACTGGTGTTCATCTTTTAGTAAAAAGTCCTATTCCTCCTTCTTACTTGGAGTGATTAAATTGGCTGTGCCACTCCAGGGCAAAATACTTGCATTTCAGGTGACAATAACACTGCCATTGAGTCATTTCCCATCTTTGTGGCCCTATATAGCATTTTTTAGGCTGTAAATTTATATATGGCAACAGGTAGTCTGTAAATCTATGTAGGAACAGGTAGTCTCATCTTTCCAAAGGAGCAACTCCCCACCTTGCAGATGAGCAGGCCCACATACCCTTGACAGCACCCGCAGGGCTGCTTTGGTGGGACTGTTTGTAGTAAGCTTTTTACAGTCATCTTCAGACTTGACAGCTGGTACTGACTATGCAATTACTTCTTTGGTTTAATTGACTTGAAGGAACATGGTATAATCAAGGGCTTTGCTTACCTTCCTTGACTGAATAAAACGTTCAGACACTGAAGATGAATAAATGATGTTTTTATGTAGGAGATATCTGTGGTCTCCCCCCGAAAACCAAACCCACTGCTACTGAGTGCATTTTGACTCATAGCAACCCAGTATGGGGTTTCTGAGGATGTTAATCTTTTTTTTTTTTTTTAAACATTTTATTAGGGGCTGATACAACTGTTATCCCAATCCATACACACATCAATTGTGTAAAGTGCATTTGTACAGAGGATGTTAATCTTTATGAGACTGAAAGGCCTAATTTTTCTTCCACTGAATGCATGGTAGGTTTGAATTTATAATAGCTCTAAGACAATCTTGGACTGGTATCATAAACAATATGTGACAGACTCTTTGAGCTCTTGTCATGGTCTAGAAATGCTTGTATAATTTTGAACTAGTAGAGCAGTGTTTTGTTTGCTTTTTAAAAAATCATTTTATTGGGGGTTCATACAACTCTTATCACAATCCATATAAACATCCATTGTGTTAAGCACACTTGTGCATTTGTTGCCATCATCATTCTCAAAACATTTTCTTTCTTCTTGAGCTCTTGGTATCAGCTTCTCATTTTTTACCCTCCTTCCCCGTTCCCCCTTCCCTCATGAACCCTTGATGATTTATAAATTATTATGTTTTGTTTGCTTTAAATGCCCTCTGTAGAACTTTGAATTCTAGATTTTGAACTGGTTATACCACCTGGGGATATAGAACAATAAAAGATGTTAGGGTTAGAAGAATGTATAATCTAGCCATAATATAGTCTAGGAAACTCCAAGGTGTTAGGTATTGCACGTGAGTCTGTTGGGATGAGTGTTAAGAGAATGGATGGACATGGTGACAGTATTAAGATACTGTATTTATTTACTAGCTATAGTGTTTCTTGTTAGCAGGCCATGGAAATAAAGCTCTATATAGATACCACTTCTGTCTAATCTATTTGCCACTTTGGTGCTATATCTCAGAAGGCAAATACTCTTGTAAATAAAGTGGAAATAGCTTCAGATAATCACCCTATCCACGATGACAGTTTGATTCCAAAACCAAATTCCCTACATTGAGTCAGTACTGACTCATAGTAACCCCTTGTGTGTTTTCCCAGACCATAATTGTTTACGGGAGAAGAAAGCCCAGCAATCAGTAAAAACCCCAAACCTCAAGCCATCGAGTCGATGTGTACTCATTGTGACCTTTTAAGAACTGGTAGAATTGCCCCTGTGAATTTCTAAGACTGTAACTCTTACAGGAGTGGAAAACCGTGTCTTTCTTCCATGAAGTAAGCTGGTGGCTTCAAACTGCTGACTTTGCCATTAACAGCCCAATGTAAACCACTATACCACCAGGGCTCCTAAATAATAGCAAAGTTAATAATTGTTTAGATAAAAGTAAGCATGTATATATGATCTTCCAGGGTACAAATGTGTTTATCAAAATGCCAAAGGATTAATTACAGCTGCATGTTAGAACTCTGTGTGAAACATTATAATTACTAAATCAGATCATTTGATAGTTTAAGAGGTCGTAATGTTTACAGCTAAGTGTTCTGTCGGTAAGCTAATGAAGGGACCTATGATTTATTGAACGAGTTTATTTATTGAAGGACTCGTACAAGGTACTAGAGGGATCGTTGGTGGTTCAGTGGAGTAAGCACCCACCAGCTGTTCCATCCAAGGGAGAAAGATGAAAGATTTACAGCTTGGAAACCCTGAGGAGCAGTACTCTGCCGTGGAGGGTCACTCTGAGTGGAATTAATGGCAGCGGGACAGGGTATAAGAGAGGGTGGTAATAAACATGATAAAAGGGTATGCTATGGTGCAGTGGTTCTCAGCCTTCCTAATGCCACGACCCTTTAATACAGTTCATGTTGTGGTGACCCCCCAACCATGAAATTATTTTCATTGCTACTTCATAACTGTAATTTTGAAGGTTGAGAACTGCTGCTATAGCGGATGTTGCAATCTACTAGGGCAGACAGACAAATCCCTCTAAGAACCAAGTCATTATTCTGAGTGATATCTTGTAGAAAGCCAGCTCAGGAAATGTGTATTGTGCGACTGAGGTGAGGTGGACAGGAAAGGTCTCCCCGAGATTACAGCACATGCGCAGAGGTGCAGAGGCAGGAACAAGCTGGGTATTGGGCACAAGGGAGAAGGAGCATATTATTAGTCATTTTTTAGGGCTCTAAAAATCCCTAATTACCACAAACTGGGTGACTTAAAAGAACAGAAAGTTGATTCTCTCACAGTACTGCAGGCCAGAAGTTTGAAATCATGTTGCTGGCAGGACTGCTTATCTCTGGAGTCCATTGGGGAGAAGAGAATCTTTGCCTCTTCCAGATTCTGTTGGCATTCCTTAGCCTGTGACTGCCATCTCTCTGCACTCTTAACATAGTTTTCTTCTCTCTCTCTGTCTCCGTCTCTCTGTAGTTTCTTTTGCCTTTGTCTTATAACACTTGTGAGGCATTTTTAAATTACCTAATTTTAAAATCTTTAATTCTATATGCAGTGAGCCTTTCTACAAATAAGGTAGCTATGTTTGAGTGACTGTTTTTCAAACTCCTACAGCCAGTATGATTCAAGAGCAGTAAGATGTAGGACAAGAATGGCAGAAAAAGAAGTCAGAGAAAGGGGCAAGGGAAGAGGAGGAATAGTTGTGAGTGGGAATAACTGGAATTTGGAGTAGTTTTGATTTGAAGTTGATAGGACTTGATGGACTGGAAATGAGTAAGATAGAGGAGTAAAACTGATGGCTAGATTTAAAAATTTTAATTAACTAGATGAACTATGGTGCCATTTACTGACCTGGGTACTATGGAAGATGAACAGGTTTGGAGGGGGAATATTAGTTATAAATTTGCTATATTAAAATTGTATAAGAATGCCAATCAGTAGAGTATATGACTTTTTTGCTTAGGAGAGAGAGGACTCAGGGTATGTTATATAAATTTGGATATTACCTGCATATGACGAGTATAAAACATTGGGTTTTGTTAGGTGAAAGAAAGAACATCGTACACATGGAAGGCCCAGCCGTGAGCTCTGGGCACTCCCAACATTTAGAGGTCCAGTTGAGGAGGAGCTATGCTTGCAAAGGATATTGAGGCAGAAAATCCAGGGGCCTTTATGTCAAGAGAAGAATATAAAGAGCAGAGAAATTGCCATTTCAAGTGCAGCTGGGAAATCTGGCAGAATGAAACATCACAGTAGTCATTTTATTATATAATTTATTTTTCAAAAGCATTTTTGGTACAGAGGTGTGCATAACCCTGGTGGTGCAATGTTAAGCGCTCTGATGCTAACCA